TGCTCTACATTGTGAGCTAAAGCACCAATTCTGGTTTTCTGGTTTTTATTTGAGATAACTGTCTCACAGACATTGCTGCCCTGGCTGACTTTGGACTGCAATACTCAGGTTTCAGCCTTTTGAAGAGCTAGGATTAAAGACATGAGGTACCAGCACCCAGCTTGCATTTCTTCTCTTTTATGTCCCAGCCCTGGGGCTTGAACTCAGTGCCTGGACACTGTCTCTAAAATTTTGCTTAAAACTAGCACCCTATGTATGTGGTACTAAGGACTTGAACTAAGGCTTCATGCATGTTCGGTAAGCACTCTACCACTGTTGCGTGACAGCCACAAGACCAACAGTGCTCTGGAAGGGCAATGGGATGATAGTGGAACAGACTGAGAGAAGGCCAATGATGAACCTCTCTTTATTCCAGCAATAACCTTAGCTATAGACACTTTCTAGATCTGTCCAGTGCTTCCATCACGTTGTTCTAGGACTCACTGTGCCAACAAATGCAGACCATATGCATCTTTCCAAATTCAATTTCAACCTCTGCCCACCAAACACCTAGAGGTAAACCTTCAGGCCCAGAAGCTACAAGGAACACTCCCTCCTACAAAAATGGCAAGTACTTATAGCACAGAAGGTTGGAGTCTGTGTTCATGGAGATTTTGCTCACACCTTGCTAGCTCCTGGCACCTTAGGGTCTGCACCACTTCCGCCTTTTTCATTTTGTAAATTGAGCAAGTGTCTATCAGCCTGAAACCTGGAAAATCAGCAGATCATACATCTCAGAGAGAAAGGATGAAAAAATAAATACCAAAACAATAAACAGGAAAATGCCTAAGAAATAGCAAAAAGAGTCCTATTTCCCCAGCTGAATTCCTGCAGGTAATGGAGAAGTGATACAGCTAAGCCTGCATGGTGGAGTGACCAATACCAGATATCTGACCCTGAAGCTGCATAATGCCTAAGCTTAAATTATTGAGGGCAGGGTTCCTCAAATATGTTACTGGATATTGGTACAAGTCATATTTCCATCATATTCAAGAGGGATAACACAGATGTACTGACAATTAGCATGACACATCATTTTTAACTGGGTCTTTAGCAGGTCTATGTGATTATCAACATACATCATTGCTGTTTCCAAATCATAAAACATATCACAATCCTTTTATCTACTCCCACCTGCATATCAAGGGTACCAAAAGCATTTCAAACTAAAGTATTAACATGTTATGCTGTATATATGGTTTGTACAAAGATCACAAGAGAAGCAGTAGCGCTAGCAATAAGAGTCTGGGTAGCAATAATGAGGGTAAACAATATTCCCCAAAATCTGCAGCAATGGCTAAGAGTCCTCTGAACCTCAATGGCAAACTGAGACCCAAACTTATTATGCCATGGTTCTATCAACTGAACATGCAATGTAAGTTAAGGGGATTGCCTAGTAAGCTAGGATTACTCATGCAGTTAGTGAGAACACAATTGTTCCTGCAAGAGGCATGAAACACCACCCCACCCTTGAAAAGCATACCCAGCCCAACTACTAGTATATATGGATACATAACACAAGCTTGCACAGTAAATGATACAAAACCATGAAACAGGACAGGTCTCTAAAACAGAGGTATGGGATGGTGAGAGGCATTAGTTCAAATAGGCCTCATGGCAGCAGCCAGGCTCAAGATGTCAGGGTGAGCTTGTCCACACAAACTGCCAAACATGGGAGCCAGCAAGGTACCACTGATCATGTCACTACTCTGAGACCAGTCCTGCCTTACATACTGGGAGATTGCTACAAGAACAATGGACATTTTGTGAAATCCACAGGCCCTCCAGGGCGATGGATCATTGCAAACATGGGAGTCACTGGGCATAGTGGAACCCAAGAGGCATGCACCACATCTCCTGCCAAAGGAATTCTACAAGTGTTATGCATAAGCTCCATCTTTTTCTATTGGTTCACCTTTTCCTCCAGAGGAAGTCAGAAGCATAATCTGTCCCTGAATACCTTACCATACTTGTACCTTCTACCTCAGGATCTGCAATAGTCAATAACTGTGATCAATGAAGTAAGAGGATATAATATTTGTATAATAATGAGACTTACATCTGTGAGCAATGAACAATTCAAAAGTAATGTAGGAAATAAATTCTATTTATACTAGTACAATAAACATAATACTTAGAAATTAATGTTTGAAAATTGTAACCAAGAACAAGGACAACCATGTGACACAGCTTGTCTAGGAAGCACCCACTTTTACCTCTCAGGAACTTACTTTTAACTTTTACACAAAGAAATAATTATTTTTCCCTCATATTTTATAGGTGCTCCAATTTTGCCATACATCCAAATGTGCCTCATGGTCTCCATTTTCATGAGGAATAGCTAAGGTCCACTAAAAGAGGGATGGAAAACCCTTACACTGGAGGACTGAATATCAGGCATGAAAATTTCCTACACAATCCTTCCCAAACATGATGTTGGTAAAGGAACATAATCAATCACAAAAAACCCTTAAGAGACAAGCTTAGAATGTCTGATATGAGGGAGGGAAGAGGGAGGCAAAAGATTTATTTCACAGTGTAATGGATGCAGTCTGGGAAGACAAGTCTGAGGAGCCCTAGATATGTGACCTAGACTTGCTGACAGGAACTTCTATGGTCAGAGAAGAGGTAGAAAATCAAAACAAAATAGGATATGCAAAACAGAAAAGTAAAATCAGACTGCTTTGGAGCAAGGAATCAAGCTTCACATGAACCTGAACCTGCCCTGAACTCTACCTCCTCCCACATTCATCCTGATCTACCTAGACAACCAATTTTTTGAAGAGTCTTGGAGGAGCAGTACCATTTTCTAAGAAACCCCTGAGAGGAAACATTTCACCAGTCCCCTGAAGCAATTAATAAAAGAAAGGAAAGTACGTCACAGCAAATGCTCACAGAGAGTGCCCAAGCTCTGAGTTCAAGCCACAGGACCAACAACAAAATGAGGGAAACACTTTATAAGGAAAGGCAAATTTCAGACACAAATAACCAAAAATTCCTTAAAATTTCATAGATGGAATTTGGGAGTTTTTGGAATGTAATGAGTAAAATTTGACAAATCAATTTAATTCAAAGATGATAAAGTATATGTCTTTAAATTCTGTTATTTTATTCCAGTGTATATATTAGAGCAGGGGAAGATGATGCTAGAATCAATCAGTTTACTGTCTCCAAGTACTTTTTTTTTGATTGATCTTGTGGTTTGAAACCAGCCTAAGCATTGTCCCTGCGTTTTTCAGCTCAAAGTGAGCTCTCTACCACTTGAGCCACAAGACCACTTCCATTTTTTTGGTAGTTGGTTGGAGATAAGACTTATGAACTTTCCTGCCCAGGCTGGCTTTGAACTGGGATCCTCATATGCAGCTTCCTGAGTACCTAGGATTACAGGCATGAGCCATTGGCACCCAGCTGCAAATACCTTTGTAAAGTGAGAGGGGAGATATTCAAAACTTTAAGGAAAAACAGAGACATAATTTACATTCAGCAGAACGTACTTTTTGAACAAAAACCAAAATAAAAACTACGTAGATTTATAACCTCAATTATATTAAAAGAACTAAGAATTAAAAACCCAAATTATGCAATGCTCCTAATACATTTGTGTTTTTAATTGGTCCCACAATATTTATGTTGGTAAACTGAATTTTCAAGAAGAAACTCACCTAAGTTCCCTCAGATGGGAAAGAAAGTTCCCCATGCATCCTTGCACACTTAGGACCAAGTGTCTTGTGCTAGTAAAATCCCTGTAACAAGCCCACTTGCTCCAGGTGAATTGTGCATTGCATTCTGGGAATTGTAGTTTCTATCAGAGCATAGATCCTTTGAAAGTGTGTGTGGGCTGGGGAGAGAAGAGAGGGGTAATTGGGTGAGAGAGGGGGAAGGGGCGCCAATGCCACGTTGCCCACTGTTGGTGTTTTTAGTTTGCAAATTCGGGTTACTTTCCCTTTGCCTCGCTACTGGAAGGGCTCTGAAGTACAGCTTTGCACTCCCTAGTCAGAGCCAAGAGGTAGAATCCCAGCTTCTCTTTTTCAGGGGAACTTGGGAGCTGAAACATCTCGCAATCTGAGGTTCCTAGCCAGAGTCTGCCCTTCCCATCTTTCCCCAGTCTGGGGTGGATGATATTTTAAGGCTCATGGGTTTGTGCTGCCAATAGCACTTGTTCCTCCAGGTGCCAGAAAGTGGTTACAAATCTTATTCAAGGCTCTTTCTTAAAAGTGTTGATGACTCCAACATCCGATGAGTGTCCTGAGAATATGACTAACTCACCAGAGTTAAATGCTACCTTGAAAGCCCTTCTTGTGGAGGATAGTAGACAAGTCATAAGTAAATATAAAAGTATTGGGGGTTTCATGACATCACTTCAGCAGAAGGAATTGTTTGTAAGAGATTTATAAGAAGCTGTGGGCACCGAGCAGAAAGAGTGTATGGCTACTGGAGACTTTCCTTTAATCCTAAAGCATATACAATAGACTCATATAGATATCATGTAGATAAGAAAGATGTAGAGGGATATTTAGACCAAAAGCTAAATAAAATTCCTAAAAAGTTGGTAGATGGAAGGTGGCAATGGCTTATCAGAGGAAAATGGTGGGATCCTCCATTATCTAGAGGACCCCAAAGACTTCCCCCAGATCCATAGCCTTTAACAGGTGTGTATGATAAGGATGGCAATCGTTGGGAAAACTACTTAGGAGAAAGAACTTCCTATTACTCTCTTTCATTTACTGAGAGACTTGCTAGATCTAGGTCTCCTTGGTGCTTACTATTAGAGAAGGAATAAGAAAGATCTTATGAGACAGTTAAGGCCTCTATGGAGAAGAGTAAACGATGATGTGAAAGGGTTACAAAAAAGACACTATGAGCTTAAATTTGATATATGACCAGATTTAACCTAGTATACTGAATATCATGATTTTTGGCCACAAATTGGGAACCCTCTAAGTACAATTCCTTAGAAAAGATTTGAAACGTATAAAGTACAAATCTAAACAAAAGTAACTATGAAGTACTAGAGTTCATGCCTTTCTGTTCAGCACCTTGCCCATATGCTCTGGTTAGTGGTTAATTGGTTATAAATATTGAAACCCATTGTATTTCATAAAAATAGAGGTAAAGCCGAAAACAAGTGCCTATCGTCATAGCTCGTCATCCAAAAAACAAGATCAGGCGACCAGCTGGTGACCACCCAAGAACAAAGCCTTGCAGCAAGATTGTGTATCCTTTTGCCCTTTCTCATGGAGACTTTTGCTATAAAAGCTTGTTATCCTCTGCAATAAATCACACTCAGCACTCACTCCTCTTGTGTGTGAGTTGTCTGTTTGCCATCTCCCCACCTATTCCAGTTCCTTCACTAGGTGTCCTCCGTCATCCCGACAGAGCCGGTCTGAGACATGAATCTATTTTTTTTTCTGTTTTTCAATCTGGGACACAGTTAGGTTCATAACATGGTATGTCAAACAGAGTGAGAAATAAAAGAATCCTTTCATCGGTGAAGTCCCATTCTCTGAGATAGGTCTCTTTGAAGCCCCATTCTCTAAGGTAGACTTTGGTGAAGTCCCATTCTCAGAGATAGGCTTCTGTGAAGCTCCATTCTCAGGTCTAAAAGCAGGTTTCCCATGCTAAGCAGACTCCATCGGAGTAGGCATGGCAGATTCAGCTTCAGGAACATGTTTCTCAAAAAGCTAAAGGTGGCTTGTAGATTTAGCAGATGATCAAATCTTGCTTTCTAAGTTAAATGCAGATTTGCTTTAGTTTGTTTCTAGTTTTTTAATCTGAGGACAAAGTTGCCTCACTTTTTTTGTGATTCAATGACATCTAGGAGGTAACTTCTCATGGAAGTAAAGGTTGGCTAGAATCTGGTCAGACATCACATCCACATCCACACATTAGACTATCCTAATGAAGTTTTAATGGATTTGCTGAAAAAGTGTGGTCAAACATAATTTTGACTGTTATACAGGACTGAGTGTGTAATAAGTACTTCAATTACTCTCTGAAAATACTCTTGGACTGCTTTGTGGTAATTCTTTCTTGAAACTTAGTCCTTATTTGATGGTATTTATAGAAATCTTTGTTTTTCGCTAAGGTACGTACAAGTGTAGAAGTGCTGGACCATATTTCTATGTAATTCTATATTCAGTTCTTTTTAGGACTTTTTGTCCCATCTATGATAGTTTTAGATACCTGAGAGAAATGCACCAAGTTCACATTATTGTCACATCTTTCCTAGGTTTTGTTAGACTTTGGAAAGATTTTTGTTGTTTTGTTTAAAACTATGGCCACACTAACATGTATAAAATGGTTATTCTATTGTACTTTTGATTGGAATTTTCTCATGGTTATTGATACTATTTTTATATTTTAATTTTCACAATAAATTTTTTAAATGCAAAAATGAGAGAAACATAGAATAAGTTTTCTAGTACATGTAGGCAACAGTTGGAGCAGGGAGGGTGAGCAGACATGCTAAAGAGAAGAATATGGTTTGATAAAACTATATTTGTGTGTGCATCTATATGTGTGTTTGTGTGTTGTGTTTATCAATGAAACTTGCTGATAGTGGGTTACTTGTTTTCATTTGCTCATTTCATCTTGTTTTTGTTGTTTTTGTTTGAGATTCCTGGGGCTAGAACTCAGGGCTTGAAAACTGTCCATGAATTTCATTGTGTTGAAGGCTACCACTCTACCATTTGAGCTACAGCACCATTGCTTTTAGGGGTGTTTGAGGGCTGTTGTTGTTTATTCGGTACTGAGCTATCAAACTTAATGTTCCATGCATGCTAGGCAAGTACTTTATCACTAACCCACATTGCCAGCCCCAACCACACTGTTTTAAGAAAGGAGGCAGGGCTGGGAGTGTGGCTCAGTGGTAGAGTGCTTGCCTTGCATACATGAGGCACTGAGTTCCATTCTGCAGCACCACATCAGCAGAAAATTCATTGTGACTTATCACCAATTAAATGCCAGAAAACTAGAAGTGACATTCTGGCTGGAAGTGGTACTATGCCAGCCTTTAGT